TGCTACTCACAATCCGATTATCTCTATTGTGCGCCGCAATGATCATAATCCATATTGCGTGTGTTACTCTATTACTGTTACAGACGCGAGACGATTAGGAAAAACAAGTTGACCATTTCTTTTTTTTTGTCTTAGAACCATCTAATTAGTAATTCTCCAAATGACAAAGCTGTTGCTGCCATTCTTAATTGGAAGACAAAAGAAGGACTAGATTATGTTTAGAGAATATATGTGTTATATGTCGAAAGACAAAAACAGAATAGCAGATGTCCGGCTATTTATTTTATATAAAGCATAAAAGAAAACCAAGAATACATATATATATATTTATTTATGATTACATATATAAGGCTTCATTGGCATGTCATCGAAAACCAATTTATCGTCGTTCATTTATCATTTTTAAATATTTTGATAGGATGATAAACTTACTACATAGTTTGACCACCAAACATACTTATTTATAGAGAATGCGAGAGATAGAGAGAGACAAGCAATTACTCACACATATATAGAGATAGACGATGATGAGAATTTAACAAGGTCTCTTTTGTTCAGGCAACTGTGACTGATCGAGTACATATACATATATATATATATATATATATATGATGAAATGACTTGAGATTTGTATGTGTATATTGTTTGATCTCTTTCGTCGCCTCCATCTATATCTACCCGCTTGTCTTCAAAAGAATAATTTTCTTTCTTTTTCAATAAACATGAATGTTTATATATATATATCTATTAAGACGGTAAATTGAAATTCTTGAATTCACACACACTTCTATTGATTCAATGCATTTCATAGATAGATAGATAGATATACGTGTTTAAGTCGTGATGATTATGCTTGATAAATAACAATACAGTAATGAGAATTTGTGATTATGATGATGTCGATGAAAATTGAATTCGTTCTCTTCTGAATTTTTTTTTCTTTTTCTGGGAATCAAAAACAGCTTGATAGAAATTATATGTATATGTCATTGTTATATTGACTATTTGCATCTAATCTATATTCTAAATATGTGTTTGTATACGAATGTCTTTATTTCAATCAGAAGACTACAAGGACTATTGTCATTCGCTTTTTCTCTTTCTCTATACAGTCTAATTTCAATATTGACCATCGACGGATGATGATGCTCGAAAAAAAATAGAAAGAACATTGACCTTCCTCAACGGAAAGCGTCAAGCTGTCCTCTTGTCTTCATATAATTTAAGAGAACTGATCATTATTACTTTATAAATAGGCGAATATAATCCAAAAATTGTTTACTCTCATATTATTACAGAGTACATGTGAATTTTATGTCGTACAGCTGCCGTTGATTGACCACTCTCTTACTACTACCCCACTATAAAGACTTTAGCCCATAAAATTTCTTTTTTTTTTGTTTTTTTTTGTAATCTAGAAAAGTTACCTTAAATATGTTGCAGTATTTGTATGCAACAAATAAAATAGACAATGACTTTTTTTTTAATTCTACACGATCGCGTAATACCCACTAGTGACAATGACCAATTGTGACCAGTCAAAAAATAAATTGATGAATATAAATCTATGAGCATAAAGAATTGTCTATTACTTGAGCTTTTCTTTTAATCCCTTATGAGAAAAGGAATAAATTTTCTTGACTTTATATACCTATTTAAGTCTTATGTTTGTATTTTATTACTAATCTTTCAAATATAAAAATTGATCTGTTGAATAGAATTTTAATCAGTTCAAACTTAACCATTTAGAATATCAAAAAAAAAAAACAAATTGGATTTATATTTTGTTTGTAGATAATAGAATAGAGTAATGGATTTTTCAAAGAATATGTTATTGTTTCATTTATAATCAGATTATTATGTTCACTTGAGAAAATAATAAATAGCTTGTTATTCATGTCTTTTTTTCGATCATTCGTCAACTTTAAAATATTCTTTTCAAAAAAAAAAACGATAGATAGTAAATATTTTATAGTCTACTATGAAAAGTTATTTTGAACTCTTTTCCGTACAAATCAAGTTTTTATTTTTAAATGATAGTAATAAATAGGAAGACAAATCAATTTAATATTACAATCAAATTTAATCTTCCAGTCGGACAAAAGAAAAATTCATTCATAAGTTTATGATCTTTGCTATTAGTACTGTAACAATATATTTTTAAATAGATTATGAACAAACGCTACTATGTTTGAGACTGTGAAAGCAATATATTAATCAATGTCATGTTTTTTTTTGTTGCTAAGTTCAGTTTGTTTTCTATGCTATCATTTTCTCAAAGAATTCTTTCGAAATTGAAAGAAATTTATATAGACTTCTATCTAGGAAACTCATAGAAACAAAAGTTTAGATAAATTCACCAAGCCATTTTTTCTAAACAGTGTAGCCTAACAAAACCCATGATATTGTGATTTAGTAGACAGAAATTAGCTTGTCAAATTTTCAAATTAAGTCAGTAAAGAAAAGATCAGTCTTCAATATCTCAGCTTTTACTATGAAAATACGAAACTATGGACATTCTGAACTCTCAAGGGATTGAGCACACAAAACCATATGAATGTATATAAAATGAGATTCAACGATAGCAATCCAATGTTACACATATCTCAATTATTCATTAACAGCTCTCTCAAAAAAAAAAATCTCAAACTTTATCTTCATGGCCTATTTTAATTGAATACATCAGTGCACTGTTGAAGACAGATAATACTTTCAATAAATGTGGAAACCTCGGATTTAAATCCGAGTGTTATGTGTACTGAAGAAAAGTGAATGAGACAGATGAGTCATCGTAGAATGTGTGGACGTAAAAATTATCCTGGCAAACCTTTTCTATAAACACTTGATTTCTAATGGCTACTGCTCAACAAATAGGATTTAGATGCGAATAGATCTCAGATTTTTCAACTCTTCGCCTTGATTTACCCTAACAAAGGCGTTTTTTCTATAACTTGATTTCTATTGGTCACTGCTCAACCAATAGGATTTCAAGACAGACGGTGCTTAGATTGGAGTTCTCCGACCCAAAAAACCTCGAACTATCATCGCTGTGATCGAAAGACAGCCCGAATTGTGGCTCAATTAGAGTGTGGACACAAACAGAACCAATTCCCGTTTAATTACCCTTGCAATAAGTGAGTTAATCTTTTTGTTTCTTTATGTTTTATATACCATTTTGTAGCTCGTGAAATTCTCTATCGAATGGTATATAATAGTTGGGGTTTTATTTGTTTATGATAGGAAAAGTTTTTTACGAAAGCGGGGATAGGTCGATTTTCGCATAGGAAGTCATAGGGAAAAATGACTATTTTTGAAATAACTCAGGAACGGCTTGGCCAATCCTTCTCATCTTCGAACTCGACCGAGATAGTGTTGAGACTAAACTGTGTAGAAAATTTCATCGTGATCGGACTCTCCTTTCAAAAGTTATCGTGTAAACGGACGGCCGGACGGACACACTGACCGATTCTATAGTGTACTCTCTTTTTGAGTACACAAAAACAACACTACTACCAGTCTTTGAATATTTCTCTAACAGACTGAAGAAAAAATTTTTGTAGTGCCCCATATATTTTAGGAAAAAAACTAGGAAAAAAGTATAAGTCATATATTGACTAATCTAGATCCAGTTGTTTACTTTTTTTTGAAATCATACACGTCCATCACAGACTCTATTTGAAAAGGTAGACTAACAGAACTCCATCGGCATTCTTAAAAGTAAATTCTAATAGTCACTATTAAAAAATACTTCAATTGTTCACTTAGAGCATACCCAAACTCGTGGCAGAAGCATTTTAATACCGTATAGAATATACGCTCATAGTAAAAATAGTATTCTATATTTTTTTCAAGATTTTATCATTCTTCAACTAATGCTATACCGATAAGAGCAGTTTGTCATAAATATGTAATAATAATATTTAAGTATTTTAGATCATTTTTGATAGAATTCAGATTAAAAAAAAGGGCAATTTTCATTTTTAGAAAAAAACACATGAACACACATTAAATCGTATATTAGTGATTTTTATGATGTTTTTTCAATAGTTTTTAATCGATATTCTAAAACAATGCCTGAATACGACTTGTCAAAGATAAAAAGCAAAAAAATGTTTTTTTGAAAAGAGGAATTGCTAGAAAAAGTTATTGGGAATTTCGAGTATAATATTTATATAATGCTTAAATGATGAAGTCTAAATATCTAAGCCTTGCACAGTTTTGTAGATCTTTAATTGACATTTTATTAATATTATTATAAAGAGTTTCATTCAAGAGAATTCATCTGATCGGTCCTGACCACTCAATTGGTCTTTTGAATGCATATCTGATAATTGAACATTCCACCGTAAAAGCCTAAACGAGTAGTTTTGTTTAAAAAAAAAAGTCAATTGAAAACTTCGAAAAAGTAACCAGAAGAAAAAGTTGTCACATACGATTCGATGTGTCTTCATTTCCTCTTTCTATAGGAGAAAGCCACTATCCTCTGTCTTTGTTCTATCAGAAGTTATTCAAAACGTCCACACCCCTCTTTTTTTCTTTGAAAATGATTCAGCATTATCATCATATATCATGGAAAAACAGTTCTTATCAACATGATATCAGTTGAAGAATGATGAAGTGTTGAAAAAAATATTGAGTACTATCTTTACTATCAGCTCATATAAAGCAAGTTTTGTCAACCTTTCTATACGCTATAGAAATGCCTCTGTCATTACTTTTGTATGCTCTAAGTAGGTTCCGATAAAAATTTCATTGGTTTCGAGTATGCTTTAGTCAATACTCTACCGACTCTGTATGTGTAGAACGCAAAGAATAGCATAAACCAATCTCTAATATTTATTTGACTCAAATCTATTCCAAGTTTTACCATATAACTAAAAATGTATTCAAAATGGCACACGATGTCACATCATATGCAAATTATATTTTTTTGCTTTCTATTGCATTCAATGAAATACTTTTTACCAAACCTTCATTGCACATATTATTAACCTAACAAAATGTGGAAAAACGAACTAAATAAAACCAGTGCCAGTATTTCTAATGAGTTACCACCAGCTTATTCACTTCATCAACATGCATGTCTCACACTTAATCGAACTGATCGTCTACGACTTATTCGATTTCCAACAACGATTAACAGTGTTGTTCGACACGCTATTCTTTCTAGTTGGCATCGTGGTTTACAAAATGAGAAAGAATATGCTGGTGCATATGAATTTAAGTTAAATGGAAATCCTTGGCTTGGTCAAGGAAGTGAAGCAGTAGAGTCTCGAGTTATGATGTATGCTTTTTTTTTGTCGAATTAATTTCATCTTCATTTTGTATATTTGTGTTTAGGATATCAGTTCTTTCAGCTTTACATCATCATGGTTGGTATCTTTTGATGTCAACTGATGTTTCCAAAAAACAACAAGATAAGGATTTATTGATTTTTCAACTTGGTGTTCCTCCACAATCAACATCATTTTTTGCTGTTTCATTTAATGAATGGGATAAATTACGTTTGATTGGTGCTCCACATGATCTAATACGTGCAGTTCCACAAACTATTGGTACAAATGTAATCCAACGCGAAGAGTGGGTTTATTCACAAACAGCTTATCAATTTAAATTGTATATAATATTATTTTTTATGATCTAGTGTGGGTAAAGTTTTTCTTGTAGGCGTGGTTATCCATGGACAGCTGATGGTGACGAAGCAGTCACTAGTCGAATAAAACTTCTCGCCTTACTTGACTGTTTTACATCATTCGGTTGGGAATTACATGCAAGTATTGATATGAGTATTGGTCAGGAAGGTCATGATACTGACACTTGGTTTTTTCGTCGAAGTAATTAATGATTATTTAATCAGTTGTTAGAACGCAATCATCAACACGCACTCACGCATATTAAATGAACGTTGTTATTTTAAGACTTTCTATTATTCCAATAAAAGCAAGAATCATGTAAAAGTAACTATAAGGGGTGAGTGTTGGTGTGAATCTTTTTGCACCCGTCACACGCTCGTATTCACATCCGTGCTTAGTTCTACTGTTCTATCACTATCCGTTTCAAAATATAATGTACTCTAATGTTTTCGAAATAACTTTCGATAGAAACATCGTAGAGATCAGCGATTTTCAGTATTCAACAGAGAAGTTCCGAGGTCATCAAAATATATAAAGAGTTGAGTGGTCAGCAATTGAACAATCAGGTGTGTACTTGGTGGTAGTTTTTAAAAACAATATTCTGGAATTTTTTTCCTGTTTAATTTAGACTTTTCATAGAACTAATCGATAAAAAAAACTCCTCTCTTTCGATCTATGCAATGCCGGCATTGCTAGTTCGTTCCATCCGACAATTATAAAATTTTTCTTCAGACTTCCGATTTCAGTCAACTAACCTGTAATCATTCGGAAAAGTAGTTAGACAGGGCTAGTTCACTGTGCTAAGTCGGATGGTGATATTTGTTTTTAGATATGAAATGATATGACACTGTTATCTCACTATTTTCGAAATGTCTACCATTCGACTCAACATGATGAATTAGTTCTGCTGGACTGCTCTTTTCCGACTAATCACACGTCTATTGGATGAAATCTTGGGTGTCAGGAAAAGTCTTATAACTCTAGAACGTAACAAGCTAAGAATGTTGGCTTTCCGTAAATCGAAATAGAAGAACATTTTCTATCGATTGTTTCTATCAAAGGTTATTCAAAAAACACTGGAACACATTATATTTTCAAATGGATAGTAGAATTTATTTTAATATAACTTAATGAAAATCTTCAAATCTAACAATGTTAGTTTTCAATAGAAATTCTAGTTCATATGCTGCATGTGTCAGAAAAACATGTATTCTTGGTAGTGATTTACTGTTTAATAATAGTGTCTTCTGTCTTATTTTTGTATTGGTTTAGCTTGTTTGTCTGAATTGAATCTTTTATTCTTTTATTATGAATATCTTGATCATTTTTCGCTTTTTGCAGGGTTTATACCCTCTCTCCCCGCACGCTATTTGTTTTAATTATCATTTTGTTGCACGTGTCGTGAGCATGTGAGATCACTACGCTAAAACTTGGACATTTTTAGTCTTAACAAAAAAAAAATCAGTACTTTTGGAAGAAAATTGTTTTTAACGAATATTCACTTCTCTATTGTATTATGACTTATTTTTCATCTACAGTTGTATGAATAATGATCAAATCTTTATTATATATACAACTGAGTATCCTCAATAAAATAAAAATAAAATTATTTTAAACAACTACTTTATTAATATTTATTGTCTATCATTAAAAAAATACTCAGTTACATGTGCATCAGAAAGATTATTGAATATATAACTGCACAATGATTCATTGACAAATTGTGAAGATTTTACTATCACGGTACTTTCATACAGTCTATCATAATAATAAAAACAAATGATGGTACCTATAATTATAATTCAAACTTCTGAAAAGAGAAGATCAATATGACAATCAAGAATTCATAAACGACGACTAAAGAAAAAAAGTACATATAGTTCCAGTCAATTTCTTTTCTGTTTTACGAGTGGTATTATGACATAAAAACCTCTGATCCAAACGTTTGACTTTTCAGTGTTAGTAAAAGCATCATAATATTTAGAACAGAGTCACTCTTCCACGTAAAATACCAAAAACGGTTAATACAAGGTGGATCAAATGAACTGAATTTTTACCGCTAATAGAATAGTGTTCATTGGTCATATGCATGAAAAAAACCTTTAAGAGAACTGCTTCATAATAATACTCTTGATGTCAATACAAAAAAAAAACGCTGTTATTTTTTCGATTAATTCTTCAAACTATTGTTGTTGAGTATTAAATTTACATCATGCACACATGTCTTCTTACTTAGTGTATTCTGCAAGTCTCAGCCATAAATAGTTAATATTTATTAAGGAAATTGCAATATTGTTTTTCGTAACTTGTTTAATGCTACAGTTTTTATTCAGATCAAGAGTACTAATTTAAAGTAGTTCTTTTATATATTTTTCTTGTGTATAGACCAAAGAACACTCCTCTATCAGCGGAAATAAGCATGATTCTCAAAATCATCATGCACAAACAGACCGGAAACTTTATATTTCAGAGGACAAATGTTTCCGATGAAAATTTCCGCTCTACTTCCTCTCAAATTTTTATTCGTAAAATTTCACGCTGTACCTCTGTACGAGCAAAATTTGATTAAAAGTCTTTTTCAATAAAAGATGGAGTTTTCAGTGTCTTTTTATATGCTAATTATGAAAGTCATGCTTGTTTCCAATAAAAAAAACCAATATTCGTTAATTAAACGCTATAAATAGTAGCTGTTTTACCTGCAAGTGACTCTGTTCGAAACATAATTATTTTTCCAATAACATGGAAAAAGCCCTATGTCTGATTGTGTTGTCTCATATCATCACAGCAATTTTTGGATATGATCATTAAATAAAATCATTGATAGAAAAGATTTTATCCTAGAAACAACCATTATGTCACAAGTCAAAGTTGAAAAATTAATTGCAATGTATATCGATTTTAAAAAATACCAAATACAAAAAAAAACATCTCAATTCCATTTTTTGAAATAGGCAAAAGTATTGCACGAATGAGGAGTGTTAGCAGTCAAACATAGTCTTTTCTTCAATGTGACACACACATCATTGACGTCTCAAACTTTAGGAGAAAAAATAGGACAAACATATATGTCATCGATCACCTAGTGTAGATTAGTTATTTATTTTCTTTTTTTGAATCATATGCATCCATGTAACATTTTATTTGAGAAAGTAGACTAATAGAACTTTATCAAGGTTTTTCAAAGTTTATTCTGATAGTTACCGTTGAAAAATAAATGAATTGCTTAAGTCTTGAGTAAAATTTGACTGCTTTCGGGTAAGGTTTGTGAAGGAAATCTTCCAGCTAATAAATTGTTTTTAAGTCAAGACTATGTGCTTTATGTAAACTCAAATGAGTTATGAATACCCTGAAAAGATTTCATGCCCTTAGTTTATGGCTGCGGTGCATTCTTGGAATCGAACCGGTCCGATTGAAAAAACCGACCGATACCAAGTGTGCTACGATGATACTGCACTTTGACGGTATTTTATAAATGAATGCTCTGATCTCCCTCAGGATCAACAGAAAGTTTCGACTTGAAACTTTTCATACAAATACGCCTTAAGCAGAATAGCTTTTTGTGAATGTTTAAGATCTTGTTGCTGTTTCTATCCTAAGATACAACTACGGTAATAGCATACCTTTTACATCGCTCATGTAAACCGGTAGATTGGATATTCTTATTACAGAATAGAAGCAAATTAAAAGATCTAAAGCATTCACAAAAAAATCTATTCTCATTAAGATCTGTCTCTATGAAAAGTTTCAAATCGGAATTCGAAAATCAAATTGTCTGGTGTTCCTGAGGAGATCACGACATTCATTTAAAAAATACTATCAAAATGTACTATCGTCGGAGTAATAAGCTAAAAGCACGAACACTTTTCAAAATATTCATAACACATTTAAGTCCACATAATGCATACAGTCTTTACTCAAAATAGATTTATTAGTTCAAGGACTTCTCTTGATATTCTACCGACTCCTTATGAGTGGAATGCAAAAAAGAGGCATGAACCAATTATCAATGTCTGTCTTGCTCAGATGTATTTCAAATATTACTCTATATTAGAAGTCCCTTCTGCTTCTTTCTTTTAGTTCGGTTTTATTTTAAATGCCCTGACCCGAGACAGAGAGCATCGCCATGAGAGAGAGAAAAAGAATCAAAGAATATAAACAAAGAGAACGAAAACAGAACAGAGAGCGAAGAAGCGAATGCTAAAGACCAGAAGAAAGGAAACAGACAGTAATAGTTGAAGCGATGTGAAGGTATGTGAACAACATGCCTATAACATCCTACAACTGAAAATTTGTTAAGAATAGAGGAGAATGAATATTGATATGCAGAATATTTTCTGTTTTTCGTTTTTCATTACATTCAATGAAATACTCTTTATCAAACCTTCATTTTGTATATTGTTAACTTAGTAAAATGTCGAAAAATGTGTTAAATAGAATCAGTATGAGTACTGATAATGCCTTACCATCAGCTTCTTCACTTCATCAACATGCATGTCTCACACTTAATCAGTCTGATTGCCTACGACTTATTCGATTTCCAACAACGATTATCAGTGTTGTTCGACAGGCTATTCTTTCTAGTTGGCATCGTGGTTTACAAAATGAGAAAGAATATGGTGGTGCATATGAATTTAAGTTAAATGGAAATCCTTGGCTTGGTCAAGGAAGTGTAGCAGTAGAGTCTCGAGTTATGATGTATGCTTTTTTTTTTGTCGAATTAACTTCATCTTTATCTTGTATATTTGTGTTTAGGATGTTAGTTCTTTCAGCTTTACATCATCATGGTTGGTATCTTTTGATGTCAACTGATGTTTCCAAAAAACAAGAAGGTAAAGATTTATTGATTTTCAGAGCCGGTATTCCTCCACAATCAACATCATTTTTTGCTGTTTCATTTAATGAATGGGATAAATTACGTTTGATTGGTGTTCCACATGATCTAATACGTGCAGTTCAACAAACTATTGGTACAAGTAGAATTCAATACGAAGACTGGATTTATTCAGAAACAGCTTATCAATTTAAATTGTATGTAACATTACTTTTTTTATTTTCTGATCCGCATAAATTTTTACTTGTAGATGTGGTTATCCGTGGACAGCTGATGGTTACGAAACAGTCACTAGTCGAATGATAATTCTTGATTTACTCGATTGTTTTACATCGCTCGGTTGGCAATTACATGCAAGTATTAATATGAGTACAAGTC